TTCGGAGAACATTCTGGTGATTTGGTCGTATGAATGAAGTTGAGAACGAGGTGCCATCGAAGGCCAAGAAAAAAGCAGGGAATGAAAACTATGGCTGGCCCGGGGCTTTTAGCTAGTGGCCGAAAATAGCAAGATATAGTGTCTTAGGCCGGAGTAAAGAAGAAGGTCATTCTAGTGGGACATTTTAAAGGTCGTATGGGCTAAGCTTATGCCAGCGATGTAGTCCAGACCACATGTTCTGTGGATTTTACCAAACAATCCATTTCGAAATCCCTATATTAATGCCATAGTAATTTCCAAATCGATCACAGGATTAATTCTAAATTGATTCAACAAAGGGTTAAAAATTCTTTCCCACAAATGTTTTAAAATGAAATAACAAATGGTTTCTAAATCAATTCCCACGTTTGATTGTAAAGATATTGGAAATCCAATTCAAATTGTATTTGGAAGTTGTTCCCGGATAGATCACACTAGTACTTTCAAAGGTAATCCAATAATTGATTCTAAAATCACTCCAGCAATCGATTCTAGCGAACCATTAAATTTTTGATCGCACCTTGCGCCCTGATTTATATCTCTAGACATGCGTGGACGAGCGATATTAACTCTCAGACTCAAGGTTTGGTCTTTACTACGTCTATATATCAAACTTTAGAACATGGTTTCAATCATTCCTCATCTTTGTAGGACTACGCCGACATTAAATAAATTAATATACAGAGGAGAGAAACAAATAGGGATTGGCTTGGCAACGGTGATTGAAGCAGCAAATCTCAAATTTGAGAATCTCAGGAATTGTAATTTGGTGGTCTCAGTCAGTTCAAGCATTCTTGAGTACATTGGAAAAAGGCGCCATGGAGGGTGATAACCTGGTAAAGAAACCCGTCTGCTCCATTTAGTTTGGTCACGAAAGATTCTAAATTCATCAACAGGTAGTTCTAGTCAATTTCCCAACTGACCCCATCTCCATCCACGAGTGGTTCCAGCTCGATCTAGGAAATGGTTCCAGCTCGATTCTACAATTCATCCCAAATTAATCCACAATTATTTCCAACTGGATCTCATAACCATCTCCAAATTAATTGCAAAGTTATTACCAACTCTACCCCCGAATATTTCCAAATTAATTCATATTTATCTCCCGCTCGATCGTGCAACTGATTGTAACTCAATCCCCTCTAATTCCAAATTGATTCCAAAATCATCTCCAACTCAATCCCCCACCAAATTCCAAATCAATCTACAACCATGACCCTTTCTATCCCCCACTACTTCCAAATAAATCCAAACATGGCCTCAACTCGATCCTCCACTACTTCTAGCTCCATCCACAACTAAATCCAAATCATTCCCACAGCTAATTCCAAACTAATCCAAAATTAGTACCAGTCCCATTCCCCCAACGAATTCCAAATTCATCCACAATGATGTCCCTCTCCATCGCACAACAAATCTTAAATTACTCCACAACGAATTAAATTTCCATCCTCCAGTAGTTCCTAATTGATTCCCAAGTCATCCCCAGCTCTATTTTCCCTCCCCCGCCCCCCTTCTTCCAGCTTTATCCACAACTAATTTAAATTGTCTCCACGAATATTTCCAGCTTTATCCACAACTAATTCCAAATTGTTTCCACGAATATTTCCAGCCCAATCCTGCTATAATCTCCAACTTGGTTGCACAATTTGTCTCAAGTTAATCCACAACTAATCCCATCTTCACCTACAACTAATCTCAAATTACTCCGCAACTAATTGCAACTCGATCCCCCGCCAATCCCAAATCATTCCACAATCAGTCCCAGCTCGATCCCAAAACGAATCCAAAGTACACCACCACTATTCCCGGGTCCATCCACACTAACTCCAAATTATATCCACAACCAATTCCAAATTATTTCCACAAGTATTTCCGGCTCCATTCCTCCTTCTTTTTTCCAACTCGGTCGCACTACTAATACAACTCGATTCCCCACTACTTCCAAAACACCTACTTGCTCATCCACCTCCACCCCCACCAATCCCAAAACTTCCCAAAACTTCCCAAAACTTCACAAAACTTCCCAAACTTCCCCGCCAATCCCAGCTCCTTCCCCACCATTCCAACCCCAGCCTCCGCGGTCATTTCCGGCACAGCACGGCGCCCGGCTGCGCCTGCACACAGCGCGGCACCGGCGATGCCTTCGCCAGCTCTGTGCTCTCCATATCTCTTTTCTAAACCCCACCCCCTCGTCCAGACGCCCCCCGCTCCTCCCCGAGCAGCAGCTGTCCGGCGTGACGAACCCAGGCACGTGCTTTTTCCCCGGCGCAAAACGACCCCCGACCGGCGCCACACCCGTCCGCCATGTCCGAACAAGCACGCCGAGTTTCTGAGAAGGCGGCCCGCTTTGAAAGCCTGTGGCTGTCCGGGCCACCAGCGGGGGCCGGCACGCGGCCACGCGGAGCGGCCGACAGCCGCAGAAACAGCCCCCTCCTTTCCGAAAACGGACCTGTTTTCTCAGAAGGCAGGCCTGTTTCTTCAGAAGTTGGGCCTGTTTCTTCAAAAGGCAGGCCCGGGTCTTTGGAAGCCGGACCCGGGTCTTCGGAAGACAGACTCAAGCGCTGCGAACAGAAACCCCGGCTCTCGGAACTCAACGCCCGCCTTTCTGACCAAAGTCCCCGTCTTTCTGACCAAAGTCCCCGTCTTTCTGACCAAAGTCCCCGTCTTTCTGACCAAAGTCCCCGTCTTTCTGACCAAAACGCCCGCCTCCCAGAACAAAGCGCCCGTCTCCCAGAACAAAACGCCGCCGCGGCGGCGGCCCGGCGGGAAATGCCGCTCTCGTGCCAGCGCTGCCGGCTCCGCAAAGTCAAGTGCAACTTCGCCCATCCCTGCTCCAGCTGCGTCAAGTTGGGCGTGGAGTGCATCGCCGTGCCCAACGACATGCGCAAGAAACGCCCGCCCGCCAACTACGTGCTGACGCTCGAGAAGCAGATCGACGCGTACCTGAAGTTCGTGGCGCAGCTCCGCAAAATCGAGGCGCCCGCCGAGCGCAGCCTGTTTTTCGACACGCACGTGGCGTCCGTCGGCGCCGTGCTGCCGCCCGAGGGCCTGGACACCAACCAGGACACCAACCAGGATACGCCGGGCCCAGAGGCGGCGCCCCGGGCCGCGCCGGAACCGGGCGCCCCGCCCAAAATCCGCCCCGTGTACGGGCCCACCAGCGTGTACGAGAACGACAGCGACTTCAAGACACGCAGCAGGTCACGGGGGCTCGTGCACAAGAAGGAGACGCGCGAGGTGGCCGCGGTGCACGCGCTTGCCCGCGACCCGGACGTGCTCCACTGCCTCCGGCTCTTCTTCACGTGGCAGTACCCGAACCACAACATGTTCGTGTTCCGCGAGGCGTTCTTCATCGACTTCTTCCAGCCCAAGCCCAACGCGCTCTACTGCCTGCTGGTGTTGGTGCTCAGCGTGTGCGCGTTGGGCGCCCGCATGTCCGACGTGGACAGCATCTACCTGCGGTCGCTCTCGTTCTACAACGAGGCCAAGTCGTCGCTCTTGTCCAACTTGGAGCACCCGTCCATCACGTCCGTGCAGAGCTTCCTCTTGCTCGCGTTCTACGACATCTGCAACGGCCACAACTCCACGGGCTGGATGCTCCTGGGCAACGCCATGCGCATGGGCTTCGACTTGGGCTTCCAGCTCAACCCGGAGGTGTGGTTTCTCCAGCACCGCGGCGCGTTGACCCTGTTGGACATCTCCATCCGCAGCCGCATCTACTGGGGCTGCTTCATGGCCGACCACTTCATCAGCCTCGTGTTGGGCCGCCCGTCGCTCCTCAAGCTCCTGGACGCGTCCATCCCGGAGACTGAGGACTTGCCGGAGTTGGACTGGATCAACGACTACAAGTACATCCCGGAGAACGTCACCAACATCTCCGACCCGTTGAAGAACATCATCAACTTGATCAGCATCTCCGACAACATGCTCGACGACATCTTCACGCGCTCCGACAGCTACCACCCCGACACGCCCGCCCACGCGCACGACGACTACAACTTGGTCTCGCGTGTGTCCAAGCTCTTCGACTACAACGCGCAGATCCAGCTCTGGAAGAACTCCTTGCCGCCCGACTTGAACTGGGACCGCGACAACTTGCAGCTCACCTCGGACAACCCGACCATCTCCGTCGTGCGCTACTACTACTACATCCTCATTCTCTGCTTGAACCGCCCGTTCGTGGGCATTGCCCGCGACTTCAAGGACAAGCGCCACCTCTCGCCGGCCTTCTTGTGCACCAACGCCATCGAGGACTTGTACGTGGCCATCCAGAAGTTCCAGAAGTCCCACGGGCTCCGCCGCGCCTCCATCTTCATTGTCTACTGCAGTATTCTCTCCATCTCCGTGATCTTGCTCACCTCCACCACCAACGTCTTGGCCCCGCACAAGAAGACCCAGCTCAAGTACTTCTTGAACGTGCTCGCGGGCTGCTCCAAAACGTGGGGCTTGGCGGAGCGCTCCCACAAGATGATTGCCCTCAAGCTCCGCGCCCAGTTTGCGGACGACCCGGACTTCCGGTTCCCGGGGCCGGACCCCGCCAAACGGGGGCGTGCCAAGCGCCCGAAAAGGGCCCCCGACTCAATGTCCGCGGCCCCGGCTGCCGCTCGCCATTTGCCAGCGGAGCCCCCGGTTGCCGCCGGCTGCCACTCCGCGGCCTTGCCGGCGTCGTTCACGCCCATGGACGCGGCGTTGCTGTACGAAAGCGCGGGGCACGGCGACGCCTTTGTCTCGGACGGAAACATGGCGCTCGACGACGAGTTCCGCTTCCCCAATGCGGACTTCGACCTGGCGTCCGCAGCGGACCAGCCCCACACGGAGTTTTTCGGCGGCCCGCCGGTGCTCATGACGTCGGACTTGTTCAACGAGGACTGGGGCGCGTTGTTCCCCGACTCCATCTTCAGCCACCGCATTGGCCAGTCGCAGTAGGAACGTGACGTTTATTCTAATGCTACATACTCTCAGGTGTCCGTGTCCCAGATGCTTTCGTCGACAAAGTAGAGCCAGTTGAAGCCGTTCCAGGAGCTGATGATGCCGGCGGCGCAGTACACGCTCACGATCATGAGTTTCAAAAAGGCCATTTTCTCCAAGACCTCCAACTTCAGCTCAAAGACATCGATCAACGTCACGAAGCCCGTCACGGGGATGAGCCCCAAGATGTACAACGACGACACGCGGTCCAACAGCAAGTAGCTCGAGTACGCCTGGTGCGAGTTCTTGTGCGTGGGGATCCGCACCACTTTGCGGAACACGAAGTAGTAGATCAAGTACCACAACGTGGTGAACACCACCTTGACGAGCCACTCCTCGCAGGTGAAGATGAGCGGGAAAAGCGACACGTACCCGCACGCAGCCACGAGGTTGAACAAGCTCAAGAGCCGCTTGTCCCTGGTCATGAGGAACGAGAGCGGGAAGATCACCAACAAGATCGCCTTTTCGTGCACGTGCCAGCCAAAGAGAAAGGACGCGTATGCGCAGAGCGTCAACGCACCTAGAAAGCGCTCGTACGTCGGCTGGATGAAGAGCGGAATGAGCGCCATGACCTGGTAGAACAACGTGAGCATAAACGTGAGCTTGGGCGTGATTTCCGGGAGCACCACGAACTCCACGTCGCCCACAAGGCCGCGCGTGCCGGACTTGAGCACCGCCGAGGCGTCGAGGAGCCGGGCGTCGAGTTTCAAGAGCTTTTGGAGCGGCACCTGCGCAAGGGGAATCTGCCGGTACGCCTGGAGAAGCACGCGGTCCAAAAACGAGTACACCGCCCAGATGTTGGGCGCCCAGTACGCGTGGGTCAAGCCCCTGCTGAATGGGAACAAGCGCAGCACAAGCTGCGGCATCACGCCGTGGTAGATGAAGGGCGCAAACGCCACGCCAAACACCGCCGCCACCGTGGCGCCAAGCTTCAAGAGATTGCGCCATTTGACGAGCCGCACGCCGTTGGCAAGCGCGCTCCTCTTGGTGTCGTAGCGGAGGTTTAGCGTGTACGCGCGGAGAAGATAGATGAACACGGCCGGCGCCAAGTAAAGATAGATGTGCTTGAAGCAGAGGAGCACGGCGAAACAGAGCCCGCAGAGCACGTGCTTCTCGAGCCGGGCGCAGTTGATCATGAGCACAAGGAGCCCGTACATCATGCCGTTGTACTGGAAATGCATGTGGTCAATGAGAACAAGCCCGGGCGATAGAATGAGGCTCAGGGCCACGGCAAACGCACGGGCCTGTTCCGCCGGCGCCGCCGTGCGCACGTACCACTGGAGCGCCAAGAACAACACGGCCTCGGTGGCCATCACCGAGGCCCGCTGGAAATACACAGTCGGAAGGCCGTACTGGCCCACCTCGACGATATCGAGGCACCCATCGGCAGCCACCACCGGCGGCACGAGCTGCGAGAGCGCGCACTCGAAGTACGCGAAGAAGGGCGGGTAGTCGAGCGTCCATTGGCTGGTGTTCTCCGTGTACCACTGCGCCATTGGGAGCTTGTTGGTGATGGCGAGCCAGTTCCGGTGCACGTCGAAATCCGTGGAGTGGTAGCCGACGACAAGGAGGCCCTTCAAGAAAAGCGAGAGCACCCAGATGTTGAGGAGCGAGCCGCGCGGAAACCCGGCGGGGGTCTGTGGCCGTCTGGGGGGCGTGTTGGCGGCGTTTCGTGGCACTTCTGCCGGGGCCTCAGTGCTGGGCGACATGGCCAGAGGAGCGCCGCGGCCGCCCTGGCGGTGTGCTGTGTTTTCGGCGGCAGCGCCTTTTTTTGAGGTGGTGCTTGGATCCCCGAAGGTTTTCGAGCGAGACGTGCCCGCCAGCAGAGGGTTTGCCATGGCACCGTGTGCGTTTGCGGAGGATGTGAAAGAGTGGTTCTGGAGGTTTGGGCCCGGTGAGAACTGGCGCTGGGCGATAGGGCCTGGCAGGCGTCGCGCCCATTGCGCGGCCCTGGAAATACCGCGGCGCCAGAGGTAATTTAGGGCCGCGCCGTGGGGCCAGTGGCCCTGGCGAACCCGGGCTGGGGAACCAGGGCACGTGGGTTTCTAGTGCCGGGGCCTTGCATATATTGTTTCCTTTGGTTTTGTTGGTCTTGTTGTTTTTGTTGTTTTTGTTGCTTTTGTTGCTTTTGTTGCTTTTGTTGTTTTTGGTTTGTTTTTGGTTTGTTTTCTGGTTTGTTTTTGGTTTGTTTTTGGTTTGTTTTCTGGTGGCATTCGGTGCTGGAGGGCGTCGGCGGCTGGTTGCAAACGGAATCGTGGCAAAGATTGGGGGCCGCTTGGTGTGGGCTGACTGATGGGTCCATACCATGCGTTGGGTAAAGTCAACATAGGGCATGGAAAACCGAGTAATTTCACATGGACAGGCGTATCTAGATATCACGGAAAGCGCGTTGACAAGCGTATCTAGATATCACGGGAAATGTGCGCTGTAGCGCTTCGTGATTGCTCAGCAATTCAACACGCACACGTCAAGTTCGCTTGTTTCCATGGGGCGTGGGTTCTGAATCGTGTTTTCGGAAAATCAGCGGCCCCTCATGAATGCCTCAACAGAAACACCGCCAGGGCCCGCATCTTTAGCACGCACCCATCCAAAAGTTCCAGCGGGGCTGAGAGCGGTGGATCGTCTTGAAGGGCCATCCGGTTTGAAGCACACCCCAGCCATGTTTCCCTTGCGTCTACGAAGCTGGTTTGCGGTTCGTGCGGTCCGGCGGGTCTGACGCCAAGCTTGAAGCCTCCAATGACTGCCGGCCAGCTGAAACGACAAGCCGTCTAGTGCCACTCGCCTTTTTCTTCGACGGGCCCCAGCGCTCGAGGCTTAGAACGCAGTCTTCTGGCATTCGGCTTGCCCCTCAACACCAAGCTTCCATGCCAAAGCCAAGTGGCCCAAGGCGCTGCATGGAGCGTTCAACGGTGGAACCCCATTGCCTTGAGCCGTGCAGCGCCATCCAACGACAGGGTGGAAAGGAAGGCGTAAACGCAGCGAGCTCGCGGACCCGATTTCGCACCCATTGCAAGCAGGTTCCGGGAATGGAGGCACCGGACAAATTACGTCGAGATCCAGTCACCTGGGCGAGCCGAGCACACTGGCTCATAGGCAATTCTGTCTACAACCAGTATTCCAGAAACATGCCCTGTATTTTGAGCTGAATACATGGCACCCAGGATGGACCACCAGAGCCCACCTGCGGAGCACTCTGTGCAGACTCCACTGGGCAAGGGCAGCGATCTTCATGGTGGACATCGCCAACACAAACACGCCAGCCTCCCGGCCGCTGGCCGACTTCATGGTGTGAACCTCTTTTTTTGTTTTTGTTTTTGTTTTTTTTTCTTTGGGCCCACCTATGCCGGGAGCCCGGCGACGGGCGCCATTGCATTTTCCAACTGTTCTCCAGCCCGCGAATTCAGAATTACACCATTCGCGGAACCAGCGCCGCGCGTCAGTCTTCTGGGTCCTCTGGTCTCGGGGTCTTAGGGCCTAGGCTTGGAGTGCCCGCGCAAAATTAGGGCCTAGGCTCGGAGTGCCGCGCAAAATTAGGGCCAAGGCTTGGAGTGCCCGCGCAAAATTAGGGCCTAGGCTCGGAGTGCCGCGCAAAATTAGGGCCAAGGCTTGGAGTGCCCGCGCAAAATTAGGGCCAAGGCTTGGGTGCCGCGCAAAATTAGGGCCAAGGCTCGGAGTGCCCGCGCAAAATTAGGGCCAAGGCTCGGTGCGCGCCCGCCAAGGCCCCTGTCAACTCCACGACAATCAAAGGCTCCTTGGTACACGCTGTCTTTCCACGCATCCACGGTTTCTCCTTCCACGGCATGTTCAGACGCTCACACCCCGCGCTCGAGGAGCTCAACGTGGCCATCGCGCCCGAGCAGTTGCAGATCTTGAAAAACCAGCTCGAGTCCGAGTCGCCGCCCTCGCCGCAGTCCCTGTTCAACTACGCGTGGGGCCTCCTCAAAACACCGTCGCTTCGGTCGCAGAAACAGGCGCTCGGGCTCTTGGCGGCCTTGTACCGCGACACGCCGGCGCTCCGGCGCGAGGCGCTCTATTACTTGGCCTTGGGCAGCGTGAAGACGGGCGAGTTTGCCGACGCACGGCGGTACGCGGACGCGCTCGTGGAAAAAGAGCCCGACAACGCGCAGTTCAAGGCGTTGAGGCAGGCCATCGACGACCAGGTCACGCAGGACGGGCTCATTGGGCTCGGCATTGCGGGCGGCGTGTTGGCCGTGGGCTTGGGCGTGCTTGGCGCCATGATCCGGAAGAAGCGGTAGGATGGGGCGGGTGGTTTTTGGTGGGTGGAGACGGGCGGGCCGGGCGCTCCGCACGGGTATCGTGGGGCGGCCCTGGCGCTGTGGCGGGTTCCCAGGGCGTTGGCCAGTGGTATTTTTGAATGGTGATCTGGGTCCGTTGGCTAGTAGTATGGGTCCGTTGGCCAGTGGCATGGATCTGTTTGACTGGTAATATTGGACCGCTTGACTGGTAGTAATGGTCCGTTGACTGGTCTGTTTGGCTAGTGATATGGGTCCGTTGGCCAGTGGCATGGTCCTTCCGGTGGGCCGAGTGGCCTGTGGCTCCACGGCAGCAGGACCCGTGCACGGTCCCGGTCTTCTGTTCGGGCGGCCGGCTTGCGTAGGATGTATATTGGCGTATGTCAAGGATCGTCATTTCCGGCTTGGCCGTTGTCGGCACCGCCGAAACCGGCTCGTACTATTCCGGCACCGGGCGGGCCCGTCTGTTTTGGTCGCGCGCCATCGCCAGCCCATCACCAGCCCATCACCAGCCAAAAGGCCATCACCAGCCAAAAGGCCATCAGACAACCGACAATCTGTCACGACGTAAAACACGTCCAAGCCTCGGGCACAGCGGTTCCGGCCATAGACAAAGCACGCGGAAACAGCCCAAAAACACGTTGAGAAGCACTTCCAGTCACAGTCCAACCATCTCCAGTCACAGTCCGACCATCTCCAAGCAGAGTCCAGCCATCTCCAAACACCACCCAACCATCTCCAACACAACCCCATGAGCCGCGATCATCTTGGCCAGCGCATCGCCGACGCCGTCGAGGCACACTTCGAAAAGGCCTCCGGGAAAGGCGGCAGGCCCGGCGTGCGGCCCGGCGGCGTGGCCGAGTGGACCGTGCTCGCGGGCCTCGTGGCCGTGGACGGCGACTCGTTGACGGTGCTCTCGGCGGCCACCGGCGTCAAGGCCATGCCCGACTGCGTGCGCCGGTACTCGCGGGGCTTGATTGTCCACGACATGCACGCGGAAATCCTCTGCTTGCGCATGTTCAACTGGTACGTGGTGGAGGAGGTCAAGCACGCGGCCAGGCGCCGGTTCTTGGAGCCCACTGGCGCGGCCGGGCCGGGCGGGCCGCGGTTCCGCTGGAGGCCGGGCGTGCGGTTGGCGCTCTACGTGTCGGAGCCGCCGTGCGGCGACGCGTCCATGGCCCACGTCTCGCAGGGCCAGGCGGCCTGGGCACGCCCGGGCGAGTCCGGGAAGGAAGACTCATTCAGGAAAGCCGGGGAGGAAGACCAAATCACGGAAGCCGGGAAGGAAGCCGGCGAGAACGAAGCCACGGAGGACGAAGCCGGGAAGGAAGCCACGGAGAACGAAGCCACGGAGGACGAGGCCGGGAAGGAAGCCACGGAGAAGAGATCCACGGAGAAGAGATCCAGAACCACGCCCGCGGCCCCGGCCACCGACGGGCCCGCCGCCAAGAAACACAGCGCCGTGCGGGGCCGCGCCGGGTTCGGCGACTTGGGCGTCGTCCGCACAAAGCCCGGCCGCGCCGACAGCCGCGTGTCGTTCTCCAAGTCGTGCTCCGACAAGCTCTGTGCCAAGCAGTTCACGGGCATCCTCAACTGCGTGGCCAGCGTGCGCGTGGACCCGGTGTTCCTCGACTTCCTCGTGGTGGCCGAACAGAAGCACTCGCCCGCGGACTTCCGCCGCTGTTTCGTCTCGCGCCTCGGGCCGCTGCCACCGCCGCCGCCGCACGCGTTGCAGGTGCTCACGTTCGGCGCCAGCCGGTACGCGTATGCCAAGCACGCGGGCCGCGTGCCGCTGCCGCTCAGCTGGGTGAGCTGCCCCGTGGCCGGCACGGCGCACGTGCTCAGCCAGGGCGTCCGCAACGGGGCCCACGTCAAGAACGGCCCGCCGCGGCGCGCCGGCGCCAGCACGCTCTGCCGCCGCAGCTTGTGGGAACACGCGCAGGGCGAGGTGCCGGTCCATGGCTCGTACCGGCAGTTCAAGCAGGCGGCCGTGGGGCGCGAGCGGCGCAAGCACGAGGCGCGAGCGGCGCTCGGGGCGTGGCCTGCGTGTGCGGAGGACGACTTTGCGGTGTAGCCTGGTCTAGGCCCGGGCCGGCTGGAGTCGGGGTGGCTCGGTGGTGCGTGGTTCCGGGTCCGTGTTTCGTGGCCATGCGTTCAGGGTTCCGTTTTCAGGGTTCCATTTTCAGGGTTCCATTTTCGACATTCCATGCTTTCAAGGTTTCATTTCTAAGGATCCATTTTCGAGATTCCATGTTCGGTGGTTCCATGCTTTTAAGATTCCATTCTCAAGGATCCATATTCGGTGGTTTCATGTTTCGTGATTCATGTTTCGTGATTCATGTTTCGTGGTCCATGTCTCGTGATTCATGTTTCGTGATTCATGTTTCGTGATTCATGTTTCGTGATTCATGTTTCGTGATTCATGTTTCGTGATTCATGTTTCGTGATTCATGTTTCGTGATTCATGTTTCGTGATTCATGTTTCGTGATTC